CAGTGGCAGCTTGGCAGTGATGGGGTTTAAACTTACGACCTTCCAACGAGTAGCCCAACATCTTAATCACCGAGCTACCACTTGAGTAATACGTCTAGTTCTTAATAAAGCAGGCAGTTTGGAACATCTATTCCCTTCTATTCAGTGCAAACTAAGATAAGAACATTAAACCCAAAGACAACAAAGCTGCCTAAGATATTATTTTTCATCAATGTATGTGTATCTGTGTATCGAGATTCCTTAACAATTACTACAGGATCGAGTGAAGTGGATCTCTTTTGTGTCTCACTGCTGCAATCACAATGATGTAAAAACAGCTATAAGAGATAAGAGGCTCTCTGATGTCTCCCATGATGGAAATTTAGTTAAATCTGTACATAACATTATGTTCACCTCAAAAGGTGCAATCAACTCTGTGAGCAAAAAAACATGACAGTTATATTAAATATGACTATTAGATCCAGGTACTACTTGGCAATCTGAACATTTCCAGCCACTAACAGTAGGAAAAATAGAAAAATGATAAATGCATGACCTCTCCATAAAAAAAATATTAAAGTGCCCCTATAATGGTTTTTCAAATATTACCTTTCATGTAGTGTGCTATAAAGCTGTCTGTGAATGTAAAAAGTCTGCAAAGTTTCAAAAATCAAAGCACACAACAAACTGAGTTATTGACTCCCAAAATAAGAAAATGATTCTGAACAGCTGAAACGAGTCGTTAGTAATTCCCGACTTACTGCCTGTACTAACCTACATAGGTCTGTAACAAAAAGCACTACCTGTGGTCTTCATTTTATTTATTTATTTTTAACGGAGCTGAAACTCGTTATGACGGCGAAAGACCAATCAAAACAGACTGGGACATCTGACTAATCAGAGCAGAGTATGCTCTCTGAAAGGAGGAGTTTATAATGGATCCTATAGAACAGATCCTTTAACGAGTTGTTTGTGACACTGGGGGGAGAAAAGGTAATGCTGCAATTTAAATTGAGCACAGTAAAGTGTTCTTTGACCTTGGATGCATGTAAATCTATTGTACGAGACCTTTAAAACAAAATTAGGCACGTTTCAAAACTATAATAGGTGTGCTTTAAACACACTACCAAAACATTTACTCCCATTCTAGACTGTAGATCAAGTTTCACCTAAGAATATTGCTGTAATGAATGAAATTCCAGTTAGCGCTGGCTTCGTTCCCTACTTGTTTTTATTCATGGCATGCAAAATGATATGAATATAAAAATACTAATGGCATTCAATAGCACTAAGGACTTTGGGCATGACATCACTCCAGATAAGACACAATCAATACCCATTAGTTATATAGTGCTGAGTTGAACAGTCTAGTGAATGTAGTCCATAAAGCAGACCTACTATAAATCATTAGGTTTGGAGCAAAGCTAGTTTCTGGGTTTCTATAAAATCAACCATTATTACACAACCTAGTGGGCAGGAAAAAAGCATGTCATGTACACAACGTCAAGAAAAGATTTAAGCATAAAAGTGCTAATAACAGTCAAATCCTAGTATGGGGTTATAAAATAATTAAAGAATTAAAAAGTCATCCAGGTTAACCTAACTTCAGGCAAACACTGTGTCTCATAGTGAGAGTGAATCCATCAGCAGCACAGTCAGGAAATGTTTATTTTCTGAAGAGGAAGGGACACACAAGACATTACAGCCAATGCCAGAGGTGGATGCTGGCTCAAAGCTGGCTCAAAGCCCCATAACCTGAGAGCTTTTCAGGAGAATCATCAATCAGATCAAAAGGTCAGTTCCCCATGGTTTCTCGCTAGACCATCTGAGCATTCACAGAGTTTCTATCCAGTTCCTTTTCCAATACACAGAGGTTTAATGCTGAGACTCAACTGACAATCTGCATAAAGGCTATCAAAGAAAAAACATAAAAGTTTCTCAAACACAAAACAGTAGTGACAATCTTATCGTGCTTTCCCAAAAACAGTGTGATGTGGAACAATGATCCCACAGAGTAGAAGCCATCTACAGTTATCTCTGGTAATGTATTGTGAAGAACAAAAGTGGTATTAGAAGTTATCATCTCATATTCAGCTTTACAACATTTACAGGTGCGATTGGTCAGGTGTCCACAAGCCATATTTTGAAAGAGTGATTCAAATGAAAACATCAGATGTGTAACAATCTGGACACTCTGTCCAGCTAAGTTCTTTTATCTACAGTAACTGGTCGTACAGTAGGAATTATGTCTGGGCAATATGACGATACTATATTGATATGGTGATAAATTCATGTCTATTGGCAAGTTACAAAAGCCAATCCATACAGAGACATCTCTGGACATGGAGGACAAATCCTGTGAAAAAAACCCAACATGAACACAAGGAGCATGTATGACAAGAAAAGGGACGTAGGATCGAACCCTGGAGCTGTGAGAAACGAACAACATTAACAGAAACTGTGGAATATCCATTTTCTTTTTTGTGGATCAGAGCTCAGCAGCACTATAGGCCAGGACTGAGCTTGCCAATCATGGTCATCTAGTGGAGTAGTTCAGCAGTTATCGGTAATTTAGTACTTAAGCTACCTCCAGGTCGGTTTAATCTGTTTCAAGATGTCCTTATAAAGTGGTCATAAAATCCTTAGAAAAATAGTGGGGGTTTTTTTCCCCCCATTTATGTCCTTCAGACATCTACACTGTGTCTAGTTACACTGATAAGCAATATGAGGCATATGAGAACCATGCCAGAGTCTAATGCTGTCCGTAGCCCACCCTGACTAACAAAAGATCGGGTTCACATGGCAAAATATCATTACAGCAGTTCTACCCAGGAAATTCCAATTGCATGACCACTGCTAACTACTCAAAATGCAGTCCTTTTCTGACAATTTGAATTTCTCTTCTACACTTCTATAACTAAATAGCTCAAAGAACCTTATGAGAATTGCAGAGGCTGCCTTAGAGCCAAGAGCTTAAACATATTCTTGAGGTTTGTAATCTACACTCACTGAGCACGTCATTAGGAACACCATACTAATACTGGATAGAGCCTCCCTTTAGTCTCAATACAGCCCCAATTCCTCATGGCATGGATTCCACATGATGGAAACATTCCTTTGAGATTCTGGTCCATGTTGACATGATTGTATCATGCAGTTCCTAGAATTTTCAGGTGAACTTTCATGCTGTGAATCTCCCGTTCTACCACATCTCAAATGAGTTCAATTGGATTCAGATCCGGGGACTGGTGCATTTTGTGACATGGTGCATTATCATGCTGGACGTAGCCAGTAGAAGCTGGGTAAATTGTGTCCAGGAAGGGAAGCACATGGTCAGCAACATTATTCAAATAGGCCGTGGCATTCAAATGATGATGATGATTAAAGGTTAGTGTTGCTCAGTGAAAGGAATGGAGGATTTGTGAAAAGTCTACAGTCCCTACTCAAGAGTTTCTCCATTTTCCAAAATTACATGCATCCTAGTTTTAAACTGATGGCATGGCACATCATCTTCTCGCTCACTGTGTTCTGCCAGGAGCTTCCATGCCTGACTGCTAAATCTCTTCAGCTCTCAGCCACACCCTGAAATCTACTGCATAACCACCACGAGGGTGCTAGTAAGTGAAAGAAAATGTGGAGAAAATTGGTTCCCTGAAGCAAAAAGGGAAGACAGTCCCATCAAACACACCTGTTATAAAACAGATTTATAATAAGCAGGCTGCTAGAGGATTAAACTAAACCAGACTGCAGAATAACTGCAACTGTCTACACTTATTTAATGTGAATGCTTGACTGGGATTTAAGAATGCCTCATTCAGCTGTACTGTTTCAGCAAAGTGCAAAATCAGATACATCTCTGTCTTAAAGGTGAGCCAAAGAGACTTGCGTGATTTATTCTTCACATCACTATTTTACAGTGTAATGGATGCACCATGGCAGCAGTGAGATAAGACTAGATAAGACAGAGGCCACTTCTATTCAGCTCTATTGAGAAAAAAAAAAAAAGTATATTATATATATATATTCCATTCTTATAAAAATACTATAGGAAACAGGAAGCATGATGGGTGTCAGAACTATCTAAAATTATCAATTCATACATTCATCTTCATTTTATCTTGATCAGGGTTGCAGCGGTTGTACAGGGTGTCCCAAAAGTCTCCATGCATAGGGGAGACTTAACACATTTTAGCAAAACGTCTCCAAAAATCTTTCGAATATAAATCAAAAATACTGGAAGTGACACGGACCAACTGAGAAGTGGACATCCACAAGCATCCACTGACGGAGGCACAACAGTAGTGGTGCTGGCAAACATAGTCACCCTGTAGAGTCCACCCCGGGTATATGCACACCATTTCATTGCAGGGCATCATGCACTCACACACAAAAAAAATACACTAAGGGGAATTCAGCATAGCCAATCCACTGGAAACTGGAAGAAGCTCTCCCAGGTACATGCAGAACATGTGAAACCCAAATTCAGGATAAAACCAAGGACCCTGGAGCTGTGAGCCAGCAATACTACCCGCTGTGCCAATCTAAAATCACTTACCAGGAAATCAATCACTGCAATGCTTTTACTGCGATTCATTTTGTATCCTATAATAATGGCTCCCTGGAAAGCACACAACAAGTGAAATAATTATAAGCAAGTTTATCAATAGAAGCACAGCATTCACTTGGTTTCTTGGCAGACTTGGTTGTTTTGATGGAAAAAATTGTATGACAACAATAATGACAAGCAGGCCTTTGACTAGTCTGATGTTTGACTTTTAACTTCTATTAGTCACTCTCTAAAGTAGCGTTCAACAAAATCTAAAATCTACAGCTCATTGTTTATTCGATCAGCCTTTGTGAAACTGCTACAATGCAATCACTGGCAGTCAACTTGACAAAATGGAAGGTTTGTACTGCAGCAAGCACAAGGAATATTCCCTGGCGGTATAGTGGCTAGGATTCTGTGCGCTCACAGTGGCGGCCCGGGTTGGATTCCGGGTCAAGAAATTCTGTTTAGTGAAGGTGGCAGCTCAGTGGTTAAGGCATTGGACTTCTGATCAGAAGGTCATGAGTTCAAATCCATGCACCACCAAGCTGCCACGGTTGGCCCTTGAGCAAGGCCCAAATCCATCAACTGCTCAGTTGTATAAATGAGATATGTAAGTAACTCTGGATAAGGGCGTCTGCAATAAATAAATAAACAGTTTTACGTGATACAGATATACTTTGTCCTAAGAACTGTCCTTCAAGCAGCCAGTGTTCCGGCCATTTACTCAGAATTTTTTTTTATACATATATATATATATATATATATATCCTCCACTGTAGGAACAGCTGCAGACCTGTCATTTTCCTTGCATCCGCATACACATTATAATTACTTAAAAGATGTGTTCAAATATTAAGCAACCTTCAATTTTGCCACAGATACAAACATTTGCACTATTGTTACACTATGTATTCATTTATTTTAATTTTATGCCATGGAGGGCTAAAACTGCTGTTTTCTTCTCAGGAAAACTATGAAGATGTACTCGTTTCTCATGCATTTGAATCAAAGCTTCAAATGGGTTTTGTGTTTTTTTAAACTTCCAATATTTTTTGTCACTGATAGTTAGCTTCAATTGACTTGTCAGAATACCTGTAAGCCATGTAAAAATCAAGCATCAAGCCATCTTTAAGGAATTTGTTTAAGCACCTCCAACATACAGTTAGCCTTAGTCACAATATATACTCACTACTTAGGGTATAACCCCAAGCATTGTAGACATAATTTTCTACATACCTGCATAAATATGACCTAAAACAACATCAGATTTTTACACAAGTCCTAAAAGAAGGCCCAATTAAACAAATGACACAAAACATTATACTTGGTCATTTATTTATTGAGGAAAATCTATTTATTTATTTACAGACGAAGGATCTATCATACATGTTTGTGGAAGTGTGTCATGGAATGAACAAAGGGGATTTTTGAGGATCCCACAAAAAGAATTGTTGATGCTCATCAGGCTAGAAGAGGTTACAAAACCATATCTAAAGCGTTTGGATTCCACCAATCCACAGTCAGACAGACTGTATACAAATGGAGGAAATTCAAGACCATTGCTACCCTCCCTAGGAGTGGGCAACCAACAAAGATCACTCCAAGAGCAAGATGTGTGATATTCCACGAGGTCACAAAGGCACCCATGGTAACGTCTAAGTAACTAAAGACCTCCCTCACATTGGCTTATCTTAATGTTCATGAGTCCACCATCAGGAGAACACTGAACAACAATGGCTTGCATGGCAGGGTTGCAGAGAATGCCATTAAAATAACATTGCTGTCATTCTGCAGTCTGCTAAAGATCATGTGGACAAACCAGAAGGTATTTTGAAAAAATGTTTTGTAGTTTAAATGAGCGTTGTTTGGAGAAAGGAAAAGCCTGCATTCCAGCATAAGAATCTTATCCCATCTGTGAAACATGCTGGTGCTAGTATCATGGTTTGGGTCCGTTTTGCTGCATCTGGGCCAGGACGACTTGCAATCATTGATGGAACAACGATTTCTGAATTATATCAGTGAATTCTTCAGGAAAATTTCAGGACGTCTGTCCGTGTAATGAATCAAGAGAAATTCAAGAGAAAGTGGGTCATGCAGCAAGACAATGTCCCTAAGCACACAAGGTTTTCTACCAAAGATTGGCTAAAGACGAATAAGGATAATATTTTGGAATGTCGAAGTCAAAGTCCAGACCTTAATCCAAAAGAAATGTCATGGAAGAACCTGCAGCAAGCAGTTCATGTGAGGAAACCCACCAACATCCCAGAGTCAAAGCTGCTCTGTACTGAGGAATGGGCTAAAATTGCTCCAAGCCAATGTGCAGAACTGATTAACTGTTACCGCAAATGTTTAATTACAGTTATTGCTGCACAAAGGGGTCACACCTGATACTGAAAGCAAAAGGTTCACATAATATTGACACTCACAGATATGTAATACTGGATAATTTTCTTCAATATATAAATGACCAAGTAGAATATTTTTGTCTCACTTGTTTAATTGGGTTCTCTTTATCTACCTTTTGGACTGAACACAAACTACTAAGCACTTATTTATACATATTTAATCATTTTATATTTTTATTTCATCAGAAACTAATAGAAAAATATATGAAAATAAATCATTCAGTAAATAACAATTTCACCAAAAAACACAATATGAGAGATTTATCCATCAACTAAAAGAATGGAAATCCATAAGTCAATATTCAAATGTGGATTCTTTGTCTTAAAATCCATAATTGTTATGAACATTTCGAACAGTATATTTTTTTTTATTTTGAAATTCTTTCTAATAGACTTAGGCTGTCCATCCTGAGCCAAGAGAAAGGCGTGTGGACGTGACCGTGTACAAACTTTGACTGTAACTATTACACAACCCACATTCCTTTTAAAACGCTTCTAACTACAATTTCCCTTCTTGCAATATACTACAGAAAAATGACTTAGCTCCTTGTTTCCTTTCATTTCCACAAAGTCCAGGTTTGAATATTACAGCAGTGAATAATGTCCTCTTATTATGTCAACGTCACAAAATATTCATAAATACGTTCCTCAAACATTAAGAGAAGTGCACACACGGGTAGCATGTTGTGTTTGGACCAGTGTTTGGACAGTGTCCCACTTCACAGCTAATCACATGCTTGCTTCCTCTTAGTACAATAGGTTGGAAAATGCTAACAAGCTGTAAGGCAATAAAGAAACCCATGTTTACCAAGCTGCTGAGGGGAATACGCTTAAATATTTTTTAAGGCAATGCATACAAATAAGAGGGAATTACAAAAGGTTTTTATGAATCGCAATATCTAGAACCTAAACATATCCTTCTAGACAACAGGGGGATGGGGACATTAAATAAAAGATGACAACATAAAAGAAGAGGACAGCTTGCGAATAACAATAAAATGGCAGTAATGGAAGACATTGAGCATTTGATTTCCAGGATCATTCACTTGAAAACTGAAACAAGAGGCCCTAAGAGTCAGGAGTCCTTAGACAGGACGTAGACCATAAACAAGATGGCAATATTGGTGATTGATTGATTGATAGATAGATAGATAGATAGATAGATAGATAGATAGATAGATAGATAGATAGATAGATAGATAGATAAGTTAAAAATGCAGAACAATTCAATAAAAAAAAACTAAGGTAAAGTGAGAAGTTATTAGGTTCCTAGCACAGGTACAGCCTAGATGCTTGTTATGGTCATGTGACATATTAATGATCATGTGCAACTTGTGGTTAAAATAAAGCTCAAAACACTCAGTACGCATCGGATTTACGATGTAACAGCCATGCATATATCGTAAAGACACTCCCGTCTCTGGGATTTATACAGGAGACTGAATTGCTATAAAGATACATCTTGACTACAGACGTCCTGGAAATCTTATTCTGCCTGAACAGTAATATAGGCTACTGCAGTACACAATAAACAAACAAAAACAAATAAAAACGTTGTAGTATTTCCAGACACGGTACTGCACAGTCCCTAAAAATGACCTGACATGACTAAAACCAAAACCCCGGTTATAATTCTATTCCCTATGCTTCTCATGTAAACACCGAGTAAAGCTTGTGATGCACTGGAATGCAGAACCACGCGCGAGCGCACTGCAGCTGCATTACATGCATTAAATGACTCGGACACTCTGGCCATTAATTGGCTTCTTGCTTTGTCTTTTGTTTTTATTTTTAAACGAGCACTCGCTCGATGCTGCAGCAAATTCCTCTCTGGAAGATATCTCGAGCAAAAAGCGAGCAAGTTAGTAATCACTCTCTCTCACTCTCTCACTCACACACACACACACACACAATAATGCAAGCTGAAGTGGACCACCATTCAGGATGTTTAACAAAAACACGTTAATGAGCAGCACAGACAGCCACGATGCTTTTATCCTGGTGGCGCAATTAGTTCTTAACAATGCCATCGTGGAAAGCACAAGGTCCGAGCTGTAATATCCAATCTCTTCAACAAAACCTGTCTGTTCAGTCTGTAAATAGGAAAACCCCTCAGTAGGATTTCTCTCTGCAAATTTGGGTTGCACGACAGTTTGTCCGGTATTGAGGAAGAAAACAAAAGATTCAGCTGTTCAACATCCGAGTTCGTTATATCGATAGCGGTAGTTTTTTTTTGTTTGTTTTTTTTTTTAAACTCACCTCTCCCTCTGGCCTGAGGAAACGCGATGTTTTGATTATTTCACGGTCTCCATCTGACTGAGTGCGTCATATCACTGAGACTTCCGCGTTAATAAGAAAACGGCGTAAGGCGAACGCGTGAACGCGTGAAACTGCGCATGCGCGAATTAGGCGCTCAGCCCAGAACGGGCTCTTGTTGCGCGTTTGAGCTGCCCTCGTGTCTCTTTCACACACAAACTTCACGTCTGTTTAAATCGCGTTCAGATTGATCTATACAGAGATAGGCCATCAGAAACAGTGGGTTTTAGACAGAAACTTTTGACCAGATGGATCTAAAGCTCCTTGTCCTGTTTACTGGGGATCTTTTGTTGTTGTTCCAGTAAGAGGGAGGAATTGCTGAAAGCTGTGTGTGACACTTTGGAAAATTCGTGTTTTATTTTTGCTTTTGAAATCACACTTTACTGAATAATTTCAATCTTCAGCACAGATTTGTTTTATGAGCATAATCCAGCTACTCAAATATATACAATGTTGTTCTGGATACTTATAAGAACCATAGAGCTTTTTATTCCTGAACCTTCCACTACATGGAAACATCAGGTCCAACTTGACATTATTTGTAGACCTGCGTGTTTTTGAGTTATTGAGGTTTGGATTTATTCAAGGGATTGAAGTTAGTAATAAAGGTTAGAACTCGGATAATGATATGTTCTGGTTTGCATTATTATAATTAATTAAAAAATAATGACAATCCTCTCTGGTTATGCTTCATGAAACCCTGGAGATTCATGGATCCCACATTGAGAATTACTGCTTTATGTCACGTATCTTCTTTAATGCTTCTTTAATCAACTGTTGCACTGAGGGTTCAGTGGGTCTAAAAACTGGGCATGTCCCATT